ATGTTGAATTGTAAACCATTCATCAGGTAACACGGACCGTATACAGCAGGGGTGCCCAATCCTGGTCCTGGAGGGCCGGTATCCAGCAGGTTTTGTGGTTTTTCTGCTCCAACACACTTGATTAACTGGTTGAATCACCTGTGCAGCATCTCATCAGGCTCTGCAGAAGCCTGTTAATCACCTGCTGATTGAAATCAGGTGTGTTGAAGCAGAATCAAAACTAAAACAAGCTGGATACCGGCCCTCGAGGACCAGGATTGGGCACCCCTGGTATACAGACACGTGTAAAAGGCTTGGTTTGAACTTAGATTCGGACTAGTAACCCACTGACTACAGGACAAACTCCTAACCCATGAGCCACCGCTGCCCCATAGTTGATGGTCCTGCGGGTGGGTTAAGGCCCTTAAACAACCCTCTCCAGCTCTCGTACAGTAAGTGACTCATTGATTCTTCTCAATGCCCTTGAGACTGGGAGATTTATCCTGTGGTATGTCAGAAGTCATCAAGGCTGCAAGACATGCAGGACTTCTTATCTATCCTCTTTGAATAAAGTTTATCTTCCCTGGCTCATAAAATGACATTATAACTAACTTTATGTAATCATATTTTGTTGAATGGACAATATTTAAATCCAAAGTGTTTTAACCCTCCCACTGTCCTAATGGGTGTGACCCCGCGAGGAAAGTTGACCGTTGAGCAGGGTTGATGGTTTATCCCTTGGGGTCCATGTGGCAGGGGTGAGGAGTGAGCACCACCTCACCCCTGCCACATGGACCTCAAGGGATAAACCATCAGCCCTGCTCAACGGTCAACTTTCCTCGCGGGGTCATGCATAAAGACAGTGGGAGGGTTAATAATGTGTCAAGTACTCTATATTCATACATTGATGAATAATGGGTTAACATGAATGTTATTCCTGTAATGATTTGTTTCAGATCTTAAATCCATTATTTATAAAATATAAAGTAATTAAATTTCATGATTTGGTCAACTGGAGAATATTGCATATAATGTATAAAGCAAATAAAGGTACATTGCCAAAGAATATTCAGCATATATTTGAAAAGAGAGATAGCATTTATTCGTTGAAGGGATTTGAAATCTTCAAAAAACCTAAATTTAGAACAAGAATGAAGGAAATGAGTATATCTGTGAATGGTGTGAAGTTGTGGAATTGCCTGGACAGAGAATGGAAAGAGTCAAGAACTCTAAAAGTGTTCAGTCTACACATTAAATCACGTGTGTTGAGTGGATATGACAACGGACAATTGATGTGGACATAATAATTAACAAATGTGAACAGTTACGGGACTGAAAGAACTGGTGAGGGACTGCACAAATATAAATTGATATTTAAGTTTAAAAAGGGGGTAGAAATAATAAGATTTTTCTTCTATCTGCTCCCTTTCATTCAAATATATATTGTGTTTTCATGAATATTGTTTAGTATCTGTTGTGTTATTTTTTATTGAATGAAATAAAGATAATAAAAAAAAAATTACACCCGATTAGTAATTGTTTAATTTAATGATAATCTATCAGTATATTCACACATCACTATATTTTTATTAATGGTTAAAACATTTTTGCTTCACATAAATGTTTAATATGTTTACCTCACATCAAGAAATAACCTCTCTAAGTGTTTGAGTGAAGGAGGGATGCCTGAGGTATTTTGGTAACGCCCTTTAAACTTGTCAAATTCTGATTTGTCTACATTTGTAAACACTAGATAATAAAGGCTAGTTCACTTTCTGGGCTAGTCAGTTCTCCCAGTTCGGCCGACTGGGTAAGCAATGCACTTGGGACCATCCTCTCTTTTGACTCGAGGTCAAAGCCTCTTTGCAACGCTTGCACGTGGCATCAGACTCTACAACTCAACAGACTCGGAACGTCTAACTAGCAGACCCTGGTAGCATCTTATGGCCGGTGATAATTTAATTCAAAGGGAACTGCTACTCTTTGAGATTCCAGTAGCCAATCCATCCGGTGACGTCACCAACCTGGCTGCCTGTCCTCTGGACCGCCGAGAGCCTCCAACATGAGAATTGTAGATCTACACACTGGCTTTGGGACGGTTTTATGAATAATTGATTGCTTGGTAAACCATACAGTCAGATTTTACAACCCAGACATCAGTTTTCTCAGATACTTAATAAGGTTTTGCTACAAAACATCTAAGCTTACATTCCATCATTTCATTCATTGTCTCATTAACTCATTCACTGCCAGCCGTTTCCTGATCGCTAACGGCCTTCACTGCCAGCGTTTCTCACCGTTTTTACTGTTTTTTTGAGTCACACAACGTTGCGCGCTAGCATGATGTCGATGCCAAAACAACCAAAACAAAGAGGAGACTCACCTCTTACATCAGGAAGAAGCCGTGTGTTTCGAGCGTTATCCGTTCTTTCATAATCCGTTGTCGAATTGTGATCGGCAGACGCTTTTCCGGTTCGCGCCTCACTTTTTTTTACAGGAACGGCCCAAAACGATCTCCAAACACATGGATGGTCTGCTTCCTGATCATGTGATCTGTGATGTATGCGGATGAAGATCGGCTTCAGGGCTGAGATGTTTGTTCTCTCAGCGCGGGGGCTCGTTCCGATGCTCAAACAGTAAAAAAATGCAAATGACGACTTTAGTCATCAATGGCAGTGAATGAGTTAATCTTGTCCAACCATCATTCATCGTAATTTGTTCTGTCATCATTAGTTTAGAAAGATAGTATCAAATTCATTTTTATAAACTATCTTCTTGACTCTGTCTGAATTTATATTAAGTGTGTGTTTCCCTGGCAGTTCAAAGAACCTAAGTTCATATTAAATCAAATGTTCAAAGACCAATCAGCTCTGTAGTAGCTAGGCCATGTTGATGTTTACTCTGGTTTAGCTCATTGCTTCATCTCCAAAGCAACACATTCTCACACCCAAAGCGTCAAAATATGGCGCGTGTGATCAAGCGTCAATATACGATGATTCGGGATGCCCCAGCGCGTCAGGAGACGACGATCAGGGACACACAGGGACACGTGGCTCCGCTGGCGTCAGTGTTTGACGCCCGTGGTCACACGGACATTATTCGACTATTTAACCTTCCCCTCACCCCAATCCTAACCTCAAGGTCAGTAACTGTGACCTTAAGGTTAGGATTGACGCTTGGTCACACGCGTCATATTTTGACGCTTTGGGTGTGAGGATGTGTTGTCCAAAGACATTACTCTCTTACTTTGACTTCCAGGCTCAAACATGACGCCAAAAAAACAGGAAATTGCTTCTTTTGTGTCCTCTTCTTCTGCTTCTTCTGCAATTTTATCAATAGTGGGCGAACTGATAGATCTAACGTCTAGCCTATATTTTAGCTACTGACACAGTAAACAGCTATTGCCATAAAGCAGGCAGAGACCTGCCACTAGTATTCCTACTTGAATGACAAAACTGTCAAGTGTAGTTTCTATTTTGCAGAGGGCTACAGAGTGCTTTCCAATGTAAAGTTGTTCAAGTTTATGATTCAAAAACCTCTGATAGTTTGAAAGCAATAGCTTTGTGTTAAAAACTCTTTCCATTATCATCAAAACAGCTGACACTGATTAACAACTCCACTGACCAGATCAATATCCCAGGGGTTTCACTGACTTGATGTTATTCGTGTTCCTTTCACCTTGGAACAGTGTGTTCATGATGTACAAAACCACCTGCTTTCAGCATCTTTGTTCCATTCAGTCTGACCCCTTCTTTCCACCGGAGCCGTCAGCAGCACGTTACTGCAGCAGCACGTCATAGCTGCTGATAGGAACCGCTGTGGTCAACAGAACCTTTTCCACCGGAGCCGTCAGCAGCGCGAGTCGGCCGCGTCTCAGGAGCAGCATGTCGCGGCCTTTACGCACCGGTTCTATTTTCTACGCGCAACGCCTCTGAAACGGGTCAAGTTCAACATTTTTGGGGAAGAAAAGACAGGAAATCGGACGCGGAAACGGAGCAAAGCTCCCGAGATTTTCAGAATAAAGAAACGTACTGCCTTCCGGTTGCTTTACTTTAAAAAAAAAGTTACTAACTGTGCGGCCCCGTGAGAAGTTATCACGTAGCTAGCGGTCCCCTTTGTTTTTCAGGTCTGTATTAGTGATTATAAAATGGACAGAACATAAAACACAAACCTTTTGGAGCCATGTTGTAGTTTTCTCCTGCTTGTTGTTGTGTTTGACGAAGTCAATCGTGTGACTTTGTGCTCGGTCGGTGACAGCTGCTCCCCTGCTGCTTCGCGTCTCGTGGGAAGGGCCAAGCAGCAGTTTACACGAGTAAGACGTGCTGCTGACGGCTCAGTGGAAAGAAGGGGTAAGACTAAATGAATGCTCTGATGTTCATATTCCACCATTTTCTTTTCTCTGCAGAAACTCATGGCGGAAGTATCACTTGGTGACAAGGTGCCACGCAAAAAATAAAGAATTTACTATTTCCCTTCACGTGTGGACAGGATGGGATGGTCTTCCAGCTTTAAACTGGACTCTCTTTCAGACTTTTACATTACGGGGATGACGGTGGATTGTTGGTGTCACGTCTGAAAAGACAAACCCTATCTATAACACTTCTTTATGTCTATTGGAATACAGTTGTGGTCAGAAGTTTACATACACTTGTAAAAAATATAATATAATGGCTCTACTGAGTGTCCCGTTATTTCTAAAGCTCTGATTTTTCTCTGATAGAGTGATTGGAACAGATACTTCTTTGTCACAAAAAACATTCATGAAGTTCGGTTCTTTAATGTCTTTATTATGGGTTAACAGAGAAAAGTGATCACATTTGCTGGGTCACAAATATACATACAGCGGTGCTAATATTTGGTTACATGTCCCTTAGCCATTTTCACTTCAATTAGGCGCTTTTGGTAGCCATCCACAAGCTTCTGGCAAGCTTCTGGTTGAATCTTTGACCACTCCTCTTGACAGAATTGGTGAAGTTCAGTTAAATTTGATGGCTTTCTGACATGGACTTGTTTCTTCAGCACTGTCCACATGTTTTCAATGGGGTTTAAGTCAGGACTTTGGGAAGGCCATTCTAAAACCCTTATTCTAGCCTGATTTAGCCATTCCTTTACCACTTTTGATGTGTGTTTGGGGTCATTGTCCTGTTGGAACACCCAACTGCGCCCAAGACCCAACCTTCGTGCTGATGATTTTAGGTTATGTTGAAGAATGTGAAGGTAATCCTCCTTCTTCATTATCCCATTTACTCTCTGTAAAGCACCAGTTCCATTGGCAGCAAAACAGCCCCACAGCATAATATTCCCACCACCATGCTTGACTGTAGGCATGGTGTTCTTGGTGTTAAAGGCCTCACCTTTTCTCCTCCAAACATATTGCTGGGCATTGTGGCCAAAAAGCTCAATTTTTGTTTCGTCTGACCACAGAACTTTCCTCCAGAAGGTCTTATCTTTGTCCATGTGATCAGCAGCAAACTTCAGTCGAGCCTTAAGGTGCCGCTTTTGGAGCAAGGGCTTCCTTCTTGCACGGCAGCCTCTCAGTCCATGGAGATGCAAAACACGTTTGACTGTGGACAATGACACCTGTGTTCCAGCAGCTTCTAATTCTTGGCAGATCTGCTTTTTGGTGATTCTTGGTTCACTCTTTACCCTCCTGACCAATTTTCTCTCAGCAGCAGGTGATAGCTTGCGTTTTCTTCCTGATCTTGGCAGTGATGAAACAGTGCCATGCACCTTATACTTACAAACAATTGTTTGCACTGTTGCTCTTGGGACCTGCAGCTGCTTTGAAATGGCCCCAAGTGACTTTCCTGACTTGTTCAAGTCAATAATTTGCTTTTTCAGATCCATGCTGAGCTCCTTTGACTTTCCCATTGTAGCGTTTGTGGGCGTTTGTATCCAATAAGCCCTACTTACCTGACCTAAGAGAAGTCACCAGCTGTAGTCACTCATAATCACTCACAAGAAGTTAAGAGGCCATGCTATGAAGCTCAGTTCACTGACACGTTTCTAAGTCACCAAAATCGCTAGTTCATGTTGCTGTATGTATATTTGTGACCCAGCAAATGTGATCACTTTTCTCTGTTAACCCATAATAAAGACATTAAAGAACCAAACTTCATGAATGTTTTTTGTGACAAAGAAGTATCTGTTCCAATCACTCTATCAGAGAAAAATCAGAGTTTTAGAAATAACGGGACACTCAGTAGAGCCATTATATTATATTTTTTACAAGTGTATGTAAACTTCTGACCACAACTGTAAGTTAGACTTTGTGCCGATGTAGCTAAAAAAAAGACTTGCAGGATTCAATTGCATATCTGTCCGCCCAGATCAACATGAGGGCGCTTAAGCCTCGGAGCCTGGGACGGGGCACGGATCTGGATCGTAAAGATCCCAGCCGTTTCTTGATCTCAGGAATGTATTGGGACATCAACTCCAAGGAGCAGATTGGATAATTGGTTATAACTTTTGTGATGACGGTGGATAAAAAGAGGGTACTTGGAGAGGAGAGAGTAGAATCCTCATTTGGCTCTAATCTCCCAGTTCTGATGCACTGGATCTGTATCCATGAGTTTAATAAAATCTTCTGATGTCAAAGAAAACCTGCCTCAGCTTCTTCTGAGCACCCATTTACTGAATTTAAAAGTGACCACCACACCTTATTAGTGTTGTCAAAAAGATCAATACCTAGATATAAATCGATACTAAAAGTTGTATCTAAATTAGATATTCCATCCCTGTGGTATCGATATCATTATTAGTCTCACATATGCTCAGCCTTCTTCAAGTACACCGACACGCACGACAGCCAGATGCCGTAAAGCAGCCTCTGCCTCCCGGACAAACAGAAGAAGAAGACGCCGCATGGCTACATTGCAATTATTCGCGTGAGTTGTCTCCGATCCAAGTTTTGTTAACAATGGCAACAGAGAATTCGGGAGGCGCTTCACAGCCCAACTTAATCTTTGGATACGAGGCTGATGAGTCGGGGAAAGCAACAGACCATGACAGACCCGTTTGCAAGGAGTGCTACAAAGAGATCGCTACAATGTCAAGCAGCACAACCAATTTGGCCAAGCATCTGAGAGACCAACACCCCAAACTGCATGATGAAATGAAACAGGTGTCTGAAATTTATTAAATCTAGTAAGAATGTGTCCAATTGCACCAACAAATTTGAGCTCACGTATTAGTATTAGCTAAGCTAGTATACCAAGTCCGACACGTAGTTGTATATTCACGCTTACATGCTTAAAGGAAAACTCCCGTTTATTGCAACCCGGACTTTCTAGCATGCAGTACGTTTGTTAACTCACGCTGACGACTTTGGTGCTACTTGGATTCCCCGGGGTATTTAGATCCATCGGCGAATCGCCGTCAGTGTGTATCCATATAACGGGTGCGGACGGGCACCCATGGTGCAGCCTCGAAATAAGACATTATCTGCACCAAAACATCTTCATGTCGAAAGGTTTTGTTAGGAATTGTTACGTGCCTTGCCCCTTTTTGGCCACAAGATGGCCTCAGTGGCCTTTGTCTCGCCTGTCTCCCGGTGCCCAGCTGTTCCAAATCAGTGATCACTTGGCAGCAGTTAAAAGCTGCTCCCAGCCACCAGTTTAGTGAGAAGGTCCAGGGGTAGTGCAGACTCGGCTGAGTTTGCACTATTCTTCTTCTCCTCCTTCGCTGTTCACTTGGTTGCTTGGCTTTGATATTTGACTCATTTTGACTTTCGGATGTGGAATTAGATCGTGTGGTAGTTTGACTTCAGACCGGCATTTTGACCTGATTTAGGATCTCCCCTTTGGTGTACATATATATTTATTATTCTCAGTTTTCTTCCCACCCCCTTCTAGGGGTGGCGCTTTTCGTTATCTCCCTTTTGAATATAGCTCCTTTTGTTTTTATATAGTATTGGTTCTAGGTTCGTTGTAAATTTTCGCTTCGTTTTTGTAATAAAATTCTTGGTTTTAAAGTGACACAACACTCTGATTATTATTTCACCCACACACTACTTTTATTACTCCCCTCCTCATCTCTCCTAGAGAGCCAGGGACGTAATAGAATCATTAACATGATTCCCCAGTACGTTTGGAACGGGTCTGGGATTTCTAGGCGTGAACAGACTAGCCGCGGCTAATCTAACCGGAGCTTTTAATGACGTCACTGCCGTGCCCCAATCTGTTTTTATTAAGATTACCGGTAGATGTACCTTTGTCCTACTGTGGAGAAATCCGTTTTCTCCCTTTATTGACCAACAGAGTTGTTCAAAAGTACAGAACAAAACATATGGCGTTACATCTTATGACAAAAATGCACCTTAAACAGAGTTTAAGCAGCAAAACATCACTCTGCAAATAGTGTATATATAGTGAGACAATTCATGATTTAAAGTGTTAACTTTCACCAGTTTTTGTACGCACGTTTTAAAAAATGCTGATACTTGAAAGGTTTAAGCACTTTACACACTTAATTCTTAACATTGAAGTTTTGCAATATAAATTGAGGAATGTTATTTTTTGAATAAACTTGTTCAATAAATTGGTGTTTTTAAATAGTATTGAAATCGAGTATCGAGTTTTTTTCCCAGTATCGAATCGAGTTTGAAATTTTAGTATCGTGACAACCCTACACCTTATACGACAAGCGTCTTTAATGGACAACATCTCTAGATGTGTTTGGATTTTTGGTTTGAACAATGTACAACACGACATAATCCATTCCTTTATATAATTTCAAGTGTTGATTCAAGTATTCTTTTTAAGCTGTCGGCTACATCTGTGTGAGTATTTTCTATTTAACACTATTTTCTCAAACATATTTTACTGCATTTTTCTGATGTATAAGAACTTCAAAGCAACTCGCCCCAGTGAACAGGAAGCCTCACAGGACAAAACAGATGTGCAAATATTTAGCACGGTGATGAGTGTACTCAGTTGGTTTAATAGCTGCAGTGAGCCCATTTTGCACTGCACATCCCTTCAATTATGGGCTTCAGAATTGATATTGCTACTCTTAAATCTTGCTCAATGTTCCGCTGGGATCTGTACTTTGCTTTTGATGCAGCAACAGTAGAAAAGCCCTTCTCACAGAGATAGGATGTTGCAAAAGAAAGGAGATGGTTCACAACATTTTGTCCAATAAGTGTCAGCAACATAAGCCTCAGTCTTAGGGTGGAGTCAGAAGGCATATCAATCAGCTGGTTCTCTTCTACCTTTTGTTCAGCTACAGAATTCTGCATCATGCAAACTTCCACAAGCTGCAACCCAGATCCTGCTGGTCACAGTCTGACCCTCCTTTGTCTCTACCCCCTGGTTCCTAGCTAGCCTGAGCCTAGCCATCCAACTTTCTCAACCTGGGCCCTGCAGGTCTCTGTCTGGCCTTTTATAAAATAGAACAGAATAGAATTCAACTTTATTGTCATTGCACATGTACAGGTACAGGGCAACAAAATGCAGTTTGCATCCATCCAGAAGTGCTTTAGCCGTGATATAGATGTATTACAATATATATTAGTAACAATATAGATGTGTAAGTATATTACAGAAATGGATCTATTACGTATGTTATAATGTACACGGTATGAAGTATGTTATGAATATTCTATGACTACAAGTATGTACAGGCTGTAGTTAATACAAGCAGTCCATGAGTATAACGTTTGTCATATGTCAGGAGGCAGAGTTCAGGAGTCTGACAGCTGTTGGGAAGAAACTGTTCCGGTACCTGGTGGTCTTAGTCTGGAGGCTCCTGTAGCGCCTCCCAGAGGGCAGCAGGGTGATCAGTGCATGTGATTGGTTACTGCGGTCTCTGATGATTTTCCTAGCCCTTTTCAGACACCGCTTCCTTTAGACGTCCTTTATGGCAGGAAGTGGTGCTCCGGCGATGCGCTGGGCAGTTTTCCCGACCCTCTGCAACGCCTTCCGGTCCGAGGCGGAGCAGTTCCCATACCAGACTGTTATGCAGTTGGTCAGGATGCTCTCGATGGTGCAGCGATAGAAGTTCACCAGGATGTCTGAGGACAGGTTGTTCTTCCTCAGAGTCCTCAAGAAGAAGAGGCGCTGGTGAGCCTTCTTGACCAGCTTGGAGCAGTTGGTAGTCCAGGTGAGATCCTTGGAGATGTGGACTCCCAGGAACTTGAAGCTGCTCACACGCTCCACTGCCGTCCCCTTAATGTGGATGGGTGGATGTGGGTCAGCATTGTATACAACCTGGCTTGCTACCAGCCTGACCTTCAGCCTAGACTCTCTTCTTCTGTAGGATGTTCTGTTGTCACATATTACTTGATTAAACCAGCTTTCAGCAACTAGCTTCCATCTTAGTGGGTAATTGGCCTGCAGTATGCTTTTTAATGCATTCAATTGGCCAGTTGTTTTCTATCTTTTCTATGATTAACTGGTTTGCATCAAGTTTGCACATGCCTGTTAATACCGTGTTAACAAAAAAATCCATAAAGAATGAGATGTCTGATTATTTTGCTGCTGTTACTGCCAGGTAATGCACAGCCTAACCCAGGTTAAACATCAAGAATACTCCTGATGTCTCTCTCTCTCTCTCTCTCTCTCTCTCTCTCTCTCTCTCTCTCTCTCTCTCTCTCTCTCTCTCTCTCTCTCTCTCTCTATCTATCTATCATCTATCTCTCTATCCATCCATCCATCCATCCCATGCATAAGACTGGTTCATGTGTAGATGCTCTTGATGAGCCTAGTCCAGCCTCAGACTACTCATTGTGGAGTTCCCCAAATTCCTGAGTGGATTTTACTTGACAACACTCAAGGCAGTTGCTGCTGCTGCGCTTGTTCCTGCCACACCAAAATGTGCTTCACATTATTAATGGTAGTTTGACCTTGGCTGAAGCTCCTTGTGCCTACTCTAATCTCTGACCCATTTCCAAAATACTATTTTTTTCTAAAATCCTTTAAAAACTTGTGCATGAACAGTTACTACTACATCTAAATGTCCATCAAGTCATGGAGATTTTTCAGTCTGGGTTTAGACACTGGCATAGCACTGAAACTGCTCATGTTTGTGTCTTTAATGACATATTTTTGACTTTGGATTCAGGGTTCCATGTGGTTCCGGTACTTCTTGATCCATCTGCAGCCTTTGATACGATCGATTGCAACATCTTGGATCTCCAGACTACACACATTGGCTGGCATCGCAGGTCTGGCCCTTGACTGGTTTAAGTCTTATTTTTCTAACAGGACCCTTTGTCACGCTGAGAGCAGGAGGTTAGGACCCAAGATGCAGAACCCAGAACGACACGAGGCAGGAGTGGTGATAAAAGTAAAATCCTTTATTAAGGATGACAAAAACCAAATAAAAATCCAAAAGGGCAGGAAGCCAAAACCTAATAACAAAACGCTGCAAGGACAAAACCAAAAACTCTCTTTATGAGCAGAGGACCAGAGACCAAGAGGGGGACAAAACAATGCTGACAACGGACCAACAAACACTAAGGGACAATACAGGGTTTTTAACACAGAGGGGAGCAATCAGGAGAACGGGTGACAGGTGTGAGGACTAGAAGTAAGACAGGTGCCATTAATAAACTAAATGGGGAAAGAACTTCAGCAGAGGGGGAGATAAACCATAACCTATAAAACACTAAATAAGTAAACCTAAAGACTAAGGGCAAATATAAACAACTAATGACTAGAGGGGTGAGGAGGACTAATACAAACCAATAAGAACTACACTGGAGTGACTAGGAGGAAACATGAGGGAAGCCTAGAGGGAGCTGGAGAACACAAGGGGACACATGAGAGGAACGCAGAGGACGAACAGGAGGGGGCTGGAGACCAAGGGGATACATAACATGACACCCTCAAGGTCTTGCTGGATGGCTTCTCATTGCAGTCGGTCTCCGTTTCCTGGGGAGTCCCTCAAGGTTCCATCCTCGGCCCGTTACTGTTCTCCCTTTACATTCTGCCTTTAGGATCCATTCTCAGACAGTATGCAGTTTCATACCATTTATAAGCAGATGACTGTCAAATCTATTCTTCACTGAAGCCCACCGACTCACTAAACCTCTGATTGTTCATGATGTCAAGGAGTGGCTGGCTGAAAACTTCCTCGATCTGAATGACTCTAAAACAGCGGTAACTGTTTTTGGTCTCGACAGGGTGACCCAGTCACCCAACCTCCACTCTCTTTCCCCTCATGTAACCTCTACTGTTTCCAACCTTGGAGTAACAATGGACCCGATGCTCAGGTGAGTAGCAAAATCAGGTGCTGCTTCTACCTGAGGCAAATTTACTGAGTGCCCCTTTTCTAGAACCGGTGATTCATGCCTTCATTACATCCCAGTTAGACCACTCCAACTCTTGTTTATACAACGTTAGTAAATCTGCTCTGTCCAGACTTCAGCAGCAATGTTTCTGATTGGAGCTGACAGAAGACAGCACATTACACCCGTTCTTAAATCTCCATTGGTTCTCCATTCATTTCAGGATCAATTTCAAAATTGTGTTTCTTGCATTCAAATTGTTGAACAGTCAGACTCCTCCATATCTGAGCAAACTCCTGCATTTTCACCACCATCTTCATGCTCTTAGGTCACCAGATCATCTCCTCCTCACCGTCCCTAAGGCACGTTTTAAGTCCCAAGGACCTGGAACTCACTACCTCTCCAGGTTAGGCAAGCACCCTCTATCACCGTTTTTAAATCACATCTGAAAACACACGACTAAAGCCCGGCTTTTAGCACACAAACCTGCCTTCAGCATTAAGTCATACTTTGTCGTCCTCCTTTCCGCCTTGGATGTTCAAGTTATAAAATGTGGTTTAGTATCATGTTGTTCCACCTTGTTTGGTTTTTACTGTTTGTTTTTTTCAATTGTTTATGATCTATGAGAATTTTTCTGCCTTTGTTGTTTTATTAAAGTGCAGCGCTTTGGTCGGATGTAATGCTGTGTTAAAAGCGTTCTATATGGTAGTGATACGGTATGGTACACTTTCTACTTTCACTCAACATTTTATGATTATGACTGGATACAGCTCTTTGTAAACAAGCAGCTTCCTTATCTATAACGCCTTTTTGGGGTCTTCTCACTCTGTTCTCGGTTTGCTGTCCGGGGCTGTAGGCTAGGAGCGGAAGCTGGCCGTCTGGTTGGGGTCTGGGGTGGTGGGGTTGCTTTGCCTTGCTCCGCTCTGCATTGCCAGCTCATCATTACTCCTGTAAGAACAGGTGGCCTAGGAGACATCTTAACCAAATGCACGAGCCACCTCAACTGGCTCATCTTGAAGTGGAGGAGCAGCGGGCCCACTGCGAGCCCCTCCCGGATGACCGAGCTTCTCGCCCTGTCTCTAAGGGAGAGCCCTCACACCTTACAGAGAAAACTCAATTTGGCCGCTTTGCATCCGTGATCTCATTCTTTCTGTCACCACCCAACACTCGTGACCATAGGTAAGTAGATCGACCGGTAAACTGAGAGCTTCGTCCTCTGGCTCAGCTCTCTCCTCACCACGACAGACCGGTACAACTCCTGCATCACTGCAGACGCAGCATCAGTCTGAACTTACTCAAATAATAGCATATGTTAAATGTCATAACAGCATTAAGTTAGACAGACTGAAGTCTAATTTTCTGTGTAATTGTATTTGCCTAAATTATTATATTAAAAGTGAAGGTTTGTTGTTTACTACTGGGTTTAGAAGAACTTGTTAAATTTAACAACTCATTTCTTAGCTCCATAGAACTGGACCAGTCTGGGTTCTCGTGTGTGTGTGTGTGTGTGTGTGTGTGTGTGTGTGTGTGTGTGTGTGTGTGTGTGTGTGTGTGTGTGCGCGTGCGTGTGTGTGTGTGTGTGTGTGTGTGTGAGGGGTGGGGGTCGAGGAAGGAGGGATGATGTCATGGTTTGTGTTCTCTGCTGTGAAACCAGTGAACGACTCCAGTCTCTGCTCTTGTCTCCACCTCCACCGTCCTCAGCATCAGGACCGCTGAGAGCGATGACTGACAGGTGACCGGACAAACGAACCGGTCCGCTCGGTTGGCAGATCCTGGCATCAGTCCCACTATTACGGTGAAATGGACCGTAAAGGTAGAGCGAGAAAGAGGCTCCGTTCGGCCCAATGTTCGGTTTTCATCGTGTATAATGAGCAGACGGCGGTGTGGAGGATCTAATCCGGTTCAGTAAGGCAGAGAACCGCAGCGGTTTCGACGGCCAGAGGCAGGGTTCTAACGGAGAACCGACGCGAAGGAACGGAGCAGATACAGAAGCTGCGTTCGGGTCATGGCTGCTAAATCGGACGGGGTTCTGAAGATGAAGAGGAGCGACGTGGCCTTCACTCCCTTGCAGAACTCCGAGCACTCCGGTTCGGTGCCGGGGCTCCACCCGGGCGAACAGCCTGACTCGGTGTGTACCGGAGATGGGGACTTCGTCAACGGGGAATCCCGCTGCTGCGGGGGGTCCGGATCCGCTTCGACTTGCCTCCGTGTGGGCCAGCAGCACCGGTTCTCCGTGTGGGATTTTCTGTGGGTCGTTGCCGCAGTGGCCGTGTATCTCGTTGATGTCGGTACCGATGTGTGGCTGTCGGCCCACTACTACATCAACAAGAAATACGGGTGGTTCGGTCTGACGCTGTTCTTCGTGGTTCTGGGGTCGTTCTCGGTGCAGCTCTTCAGTTTCAGGTGGTTCGTTCATGACTTCAGCACCGAGGACAGCTCCGACTCCAAGGTGGACTGCTCCCAGCAGGATGGAAACAAGCTGCTGAGCGGTTCGACCTCTCACGGAGACGTCACTGCCCATCAGAACCCCACCACTACACAGAGGCAGGCGTCCACCACCAGCCGGACCACCGGGAGCACCGGGCTGGGCGGCCGCACCAGGAGACCGTCTCCGTACTACAACTTCTGCGTTTGGTTCGGGCAGTCCATCATCCACATCGTTCAACTGGGTCAGGTCTGGAGGTAGGACGGAACCGGGGCTGGGGGCCTGGTGTGTGTGTGTGTGTGTGTGTGTGTGTGTGTGTGTGTGTGTGTGTGTGTGTGTGTGTGTGTGGAATATTCTTCATCTGATTAACTAATCTCTTCTGATCACCAGGCACGTGCGGGGGGGGGGGGGGGGGGGGGGGGGCTGCTGCTTGAGTACCTACCCCTATTTTCCGGTCTTCCGTCAGGTTTTACCCAAAACTGCCGTACTTGGATACAGATCAGGCACTAGGACCATGTGGAGGCAGCCTCCTCCAGCTGAACCCTTAGACCGGCCCACAAGCTCACTGATTAGCTCTACCTTGTCATGCCAACGTGTGATTGGCTGTCCCTGCTGTCGCTCTAAATCTGTCACCATGGAGACGACTGAAACCGGCGTTTTGCTTGTCGGCAGGAGTCTGCGCTCATCTAGCTGTGAGATTTTTATTCTGCCTGCATCAAGTCAACTGGATGGATTTTAACAGCAGAGCTTTTGTTTGCATTAACATTTGAGTCCGTCCGTGTGTGTGTGTGTGTGTGTGTGTGTGTGTGTGTGTGTGTGTGTGTGTGTGTGTGTGTGTGTGTGTGTGTGTGTGTGTGTGTGTGTGTGTGTGTGTGTGTGTGTTGAGCAGAGCCAGCATGCCTGAAACAGAAAAGAGGACACGAGAGATTCTCCCGATCATAACCTCTGACTATCTAATTGAATTAAAATAATTCCAACGGTTGGTCAAAGCACATAAAACGAGCTTTCCACCGAGGTATTACATGATGTAGGCCTAATTCATGTTACTCTAAAAATCGCTATTAGAGGGAAACCAGCCTTTCAGCATCAAAGGAAACTGAGCGAACCGCGACAGGAGAGCGGAGAACGAAACGGAGGAGATAGCTGATCATCTGCAGCTTTTATAAACTTATGGAAACGTCACAGAGAAAATCCACCGTTATCAGGTGTCCGAGAAGTTCCTAGTGACACGAGCGACTGATAGCAGTCAAACTTGTTTTTATTTGAACACTCAACTATTTACTAAATGTAAGATTCAGCTTCATTCCAGCATTAGTTACAATACATATTTATTTAGCTGAAAATATAATTTTATATCTGTGCAGAATTTTATTAGTTGACTTTTTGTCATGAAATGTTTAGATTTCACCTTTATTATTGCTTTTTATCTGGCTTATCAATAAGTATTATGCTACATAACCATCTTGGCTCACGAGGGGCAAGGCTGTCGTTGGTTTAGCGTCCAGGAAACGGACGAGAATGTCCCAATAAGTAGAAGCTAACCGTTAGCATTAGCAGCTCCACCGCATGGCAGAACTCCTCCAGGTTTGTGTTATTTGTGGAGATAAAACATCAGTGTTGCAAAGCAAACGTAGTCATTGGTACAGTAGCGTTGTTGCTGGCCAATCAGAGACGAGATGTCCATTTATCAGGAAACAAAAGTCCAAATCCTGTTAAGCTCTCCTCTGACTTGACATTCAGAGGAGCATCTGAGCCCCCCCCCCCCCCCACACACACACACACACGCACCACCACTGCAAATGTATTGGTTAAGCGAGTGTCCCACACCTTAAACATGTGCCCTAACATCATGGTTGACATTTCCTGACTACTAAAATAATAACTTAATACTCTCACTCGTCTAGCATTCTGACAGTGGCGTTCCTAACAACATCAGTGTGTCCGTCATTAAGAACTTCTCTGGTCTTTTCATGATAAGATAGCATCACCATTCAGTTGTAAGCTGAAGCACTCAAGTCAGTCAGTGTATGAAAGATGTGACTGACCTTCTATTTATAGCGGTGTTTCTGCTCATCACAGAGTTAAAGGAGTTTTCGAAGCACCCCACGGAGCTACAGCTCAGAAATGTCAAACTGCTCCAGGAGCTTCGGCTCTGTTACGGATTTAAACTCATCGCACAGAAACTGCTGCTCAAAATCTGTAAACATCAGTTTACTTTGGTAGTTTGGTTGAAATCAAACTCAACGTTATCATTAAGGTAACATATTCAGGGTGCCATCCGATGACAGTGAGACCCGTGTGTTATGAGACACCAGACACACATCAACTACAATGACATCTAATTATGTACCATTAGGAAGTTGAGACACCTTGATTTTAAATGCTATAGCGTGTGTTTACCGTTTGTAATGGCTAATGTAGGAGCCAAATATGTTGTTTCCTTTTCTTTGGTGTCGATGTCTTAATTGATAAGTGGGCGTGTCATTGTTACTGGTCGGAATAAAGGTAGTGATGTCATTGTTGGTGTCAGGCACTATTCCGGAAGGGCAAACAGGTTTTTGACCGCTGTGGCGTGAAGACGTTTGAATGGGAAAGTTAGCAATTACTCCTGTCATTCACCTGGAATGCAATCAACATTAAACAAGCATTATCATAACAATTCCACGCTTAAGGCTGTTTTTTAAGTAATTTAATTAGTCAACATCGGATCAACACAGAGCGTCAACCAGGTCCCGGTCTAGCAGCCTCAGGAGTTCGAGTACTGGACTTTACTTCTACAGCTAAGGTCTTTTAAAAAGCCACAAAGCAACCTTTTGTCTCAGAATGTTGGCGGGAATGGCTGTAAGATGTGATCAGCAACAGACAGGTGCAGGTCACGTAGGCTTTGGTTACAGAGGGGGGCAAATAGAGAGGTGTCTCGCCCCAAAATGTCTTATAAGCAACAATAAAACAATGCGGAAGTCTTCAGGTGTGAAGGGACAGCCAGCCCACCACAGTGGTGGTGTGATAAGGAGCACTGGTGACAAATCAGATAGCTGAGTCATGAGAATGTTCCATTTTCTGAGGGCAGAACATGATTCCATTTTGTAGAGGATCTTTTTTTTAACTCTTAATTTAATAAGGACGTGTTTGGCAGCGTGAGTGAAGAAAGGCCAGCTGATGGCCGTTTGCAACAACTAATAAGGAAAATAGGAGAAAAATGTCAATTGCATGATGATTTAGAACCCAGTTTAACCGTTGTAACCTTCTTATGAGAATGAGGAGACAGTAATGAGGTTTTTGTCTCAGGATTGACGATGTCTCTGTAATTCTCTATAGATGTTAAAGCCCTCCCAATTTTGGGTCTCTTCCAGATACTTGCGTATCATCTACCTGGGAATCCGGAGTCGCAGGAGTCCCGAGGCAGAACAGTGGCGTTACCACTGGATGATGGTGTATGAGTTTGCAGATGTCAGCATGTTGCACTTACTGGCCACCTTCCTGGAGAGCACTCCTCAGCTGGTGCTGCAATTGTGCATCATCATACAAACACCTGGCATCCAGAATGTTCAAGGTAAATCTGCAGAGGTACTTAAACTTTATATTAAAGGGACATTATGGAAGTTTGACAGTCAGAACATGTATAGAAATAATACATTTCTTCTTCATACATTCTCCTGCAATGCCCTGGTCCTGTAGAATGAGCCCTGGCATTTTTACTGTGATTGCCAGTTTTTCTGTAAAATCACAGAAAAAGAGAGATGCTCGGGTCGAGCAGGCTGCTTCATGCGCGTTCACGCTCAGGCATCGCTCGTAGCATTTGCTATCCGTAGCTTTAGCAGCAGAGAGAGAGGCAGTGCCACTTTGTCGCTGTTCCTAACGCCTAGTGACAAAGCTAGCTACATTTCTGAGGACCCTTAGCTACTTTCTGTAGAACTTTCTTCTAGATATTTCCTGCAAATTAGCAACAAAATAGCCATTTTCGCTCCGAACCGTTCTTTGGACGTTGTTTCAGCTGTCATCAAGGATATAAATGTTACAGATACGAATGACATCACTGGTGCTTTAGCTCACCTAGAAAGATGTCTGACTCTCATGCTGAAGTCCTGGTTTGATTCTGGATGTGAACATAGTTTATTTAGAGTTTCTATTTTACATTAATGGTATATTTTTTTACAGTAAGATGCCCAAATTTTTATTTGAGACTCGCCGAACGGCATTGAATTCACAGATAAAAAAGATGTGGGTTCAACTTTCATTTTGGAACAATTTTTCAAGCAAGGGAAGGGAATGATCTGAGCATGCAGGAGGACTGACCCATCATAAACCTTTGTCGGCTGTGCTGAAGAGAAAGCTACAGAACCAAATTATTTAATTAATTAGCTGCGCGTTCTCCTGTCCTCTGTCCTCCAGGCCACACACACCCACACCCACACACGGGACTATCTCAGCTGTTATTTTCCTTAAGGAGTGTGCACGTACAGCATGCGTGCCTCGTGCACGAGCCTACTATTGAAGCTGCCGTTACGCTTTTGGCCTGAGGGGGCAATCGCGAGCATAAAAATTCAAAACTCCGTAAAGTCCCTTTAAAGTCTCTTTACAGAGACGGGGATGGTTTAGGGTTTGCTCTGCAGATCAGAACTTTCAGCTGTCCTCTTACTGGAGCTAGGTTAGCCAGAGGGGTCCTGGAAGGATTAGACTTCTCTAAAGACCAGATGTTGTTCCTGTAGGACTGCTGTGATGAGCTCCTGAATGTGCACTTACTGTGTTTCTGTTTGTCACAGGTATGACGGCAGCAGGCTCCCTTTTCTCTCTAGCCTGGGCTCTGGCCTCCTACCAGAAGGCATTACGAGAGTCCCGGGATGACAAAAAGCCTATCACTTACCTTGGAGTCATCATCCAGTTTTGTTGGCACTTCTTCACCATTGGAGCCAGAGTGGTGACCTTTGCCCTCTTTGCCTCCGTGTTCCAACTCTACTTTGGTATCTTCATTGTCCTGCATTGGTGCATCATGACCTTCTGGATTGTCCACTGTGAAACAGACTTCTGCATCAGCAAATGGGAGGAGATCGTGTTTGACATGGTGGTGGGCATAATCTACATCTTCTCTTGGTTTAATGTGAAGGAAGGAAGGACAAGGTAAACACACTCGGCTCCTCAACTGCCTGATGGTCTGGTTTTCACATTTGTTTCTTCATAAAATTAACCCTTTAAGAGCCAAAATGGCAATATTGCGTTAAACGAGCCACATCTGCAGTTACAATCCCTCATGAAGTTATTACTTTACACCAGAAGAGTGTGGAGATGTTTTAACGTCAATCTGAGCAGCACTTTTAGATGTTTCTATTTGAAAATTTCAAAGTTTACAGATTTTGAAAACCGCCCCTC